ACTCCAGTGTTTAGAGGATAGAAAATCACGAGAAGAAATCAGCAACTGGGAGACTGATGGAATAGCCGGAAAGGAAGGAGGAAAACCGGAGGGGTGTCCTGTGGAAGGTAACAGAAGAGGAATCACCAGCTTATTGCCCAAATACTGACAGGGACATCTGGTGAGATGAGAAACGAGAATCAGTCTTTGGATTGAGCAATGTAGAATCATTTGTTGACCAGTGTGAGCAGTTGGAAATTGGATTTAAGAGAACTTGAGGACAGATGTATTCAGTACTCAGTTTTTTTCCTTTGAAAAGAAGTAAGTAGTTGAAGTGAAATCCAGGTTTTTCTTTAGAACGGAGAATGTTTGTCTGCTGATGGGACTGTCTAGTAGAGGGGAAAGAAAATGTTAATAATGCAGGAGAAGCAAGGAGAACTTGTGGAGCAGTGCTTTTGTGAAGACTTCAGTCTTTAGGAGCAGAGACAGTTCATCTGTGGTCTGGAAGAATTGCAGCAAGCATTTAGGCACAATTGGAGGTAGGGTGGGAAAATGTGTGTAGAAGCTTGTGGATATTTCTCTGAATGCTCTACTTTCTCAGTGGTAAGCAGGACCTCAGTTGAGAAAGGGGTGGGAGGCAGCATGAGAGGTTTTTTGGTGGAGAGGGAGGCTGAGAAACTATGTGGAATAAAGGAAATATAATGAGGAACACAGCAAATGAGGCAGTGTCAGAGAGAAACTCCAGCACGAGAAAGCCTGTAAGAGGGCTATTACAGTGGTCTAAAATAAGATTTGGGCTTCTCAGTAATTGAATTGCTTTATTGATGTTATTGTAACATATAGGTAGTAATTGAGTAACCCACATATGTGGATGAAATGGTCTAAAGAGAGCAGTGACATTAACAATTGATGGCACAGGATGAAGCCCAAACTTGGAAGACCCTTCAGGAAATAAGGAAACCAACAGAAAGGAAGGCTTTAACTAAGAAAAATTTGCTGAAGAGCCTTTGCTACTGCAGAGATGGGTGAGATGGGCTCCATGCATGCACTCAGGTTGATTATCTGGGAAGTTACAGTTTTGGTACGTATTAATTTAAACTTTATTCTATTTCATATAATAATAATAATAAAAACACAAGCTCATAATGAACTATGCTTCCAACAAAGATAAATGATAAGGCCTTTACTAAGCCTGGAATGGCATTACTTGCAGAGGCAGCAGCTTCTGGAAACCCTGGAGACATGAAAGGACTTAGATAAATAAATTTTAATATTTAATATGAAATCTAAGTATATATATTTTAAATATTTGATTCATTTAGTTTTTTTTTTTTTGGTTTGTCTTTTAAAACTGATCAGTTCCTTGGGTGGGAAGCGAAGTATGCTTCTATTTAATTCTATGTGTACCTTAAGCTATAACTTTAAAAAAATACCTGAGCCCTTTTATATGAAATAAGTTTGAAATTGCTGAAGCTCTTGAAGTGGAAGGTAGGCAGTATTATTCTTTTCAATAATAATGTACTTCCATGCCTCACTATTCATGCAAGTATTGGATGAAAGCTACTATCTTTCCTGCTTTGCTTGTTCGGGATTATGAGGTGTCTGCTTGAAAGCTACAAACAGCTACCGTTGTTTCTCTACTAATACCCTGAGCTGTTAGTTCAACAACCATAAACCCTATCTACCACGTAAAAGAAAATATAAACTCTATTATTTCATTCCCTTTTACAGCTCATATTTTACCATTCTTTTTCTTTGTTGGTTTTGGTTTCTGTCACCTAGCCTGGAGTACAGTGGCACAATCTTGGCTCACTGCAGTGTCGACCTCCTGGGACAGCAGTCCTCCCACTTCAGCCTCAAGTAGCTGGGACTACAGGCGTGTACCCACACATGTTTGTAGAGATGGGGTTTTGCCATGTTGCCCAGGCAGTGCCCAAAGGGCTCTGAGCTCAAGCAACCTGCCCACCCACCAGCTCCCAAGTGCTAGGATTATAGGCATGTGTGCCTCCATGCCTGACTCAGGTATTAATGATTGGCTTTCTAGCAGGGAATCTTTGACTAAATTCATTTAGTCTGGTTTTTTTTTTTTTTTTGCTTTGATATAGTCTCACTCTGACACACCCACCCTGGAGTGCAGTGGAGCAATCTTGGCTCACTGCAAGCTCTGCCTCCTGGGTTCAAGCAATTCTTCTGCCTCAACCACCCTAGTAGCTGGGATTACAGGTGTGCGCCACCACTCCTGGCTAATTTTTGTATTTTTAGTAGAGATTGAAGTTTCTACCCACCACTGCTTTATAATTTTTAAGCATTTGATTGCTGTTACTCCAGTGTTTCACTATTGATTGCATTTTGTATCGACACCCGCAAAGTTCTTTGTGTTTCTGTACTCATCTTTCTATATTCCTTTTCCTAGTTGTTAGTAGAAGGCCGCCTCAAAGGCTGGATTTAACTAGGACCACAGAAATGACTTATACATATCAGTCAGGAGAAGTTTGAGCCTAATGAACCCTCAGATAACTTGCTGGCCTTCTATTCTTCTCAGTAGTCATGTCTTGGGAGAAATGAGTGCCCAGACCCAGCACCTCGTTATTGCAGAGTCTGTTTCCCAACAACATCTGGAGAACAGTGTCAGAAAATGCATCTGATTTTTGGGACCTTCTAATTCCCGTTCAATTGCTTTATTTCTTGGTTTAAAATTCTCTTTCTTGATAATTACAACATTATAAATTAAATTGACCCTATGCTAAACCTTTAATTAGATATTACAACACATGATGTCTTCGCTTGCTTTGAATGGTTCCCCAGGAGGCTGTGAAGCTCATCATTGGCGACAGGAGCCATGCTTCAACAAGTAAGTGTCTGAGCAGGCGATCTGCTTTCCCAAGGATTGATTCTGTTTATTGATTTTGTTTCCTTTTGGCCATATCACCAAACCATTCTCCTTACTCCCATGTGTGTGTGTGTGTGTATGTGTGTGAATATATATATATATATATTTTTTTTTTTGAGATGGGAATTTCATTCTTGTTGTCCAGGCTGCAGTGCAACCCTTGCATTCTCAGCTCTCTGCCTCCCAGACTGGTTCCTGCCTCAGCCTCCCGGTAGCTGGGATTACAACTCACCACCGTGCCTGGCGTGCACCAAAGCATTTTTAGTAAAGTGTGATTTCTCTCTATAATATTCAAACTCTTATTTCAAGATTTAACGAGACTGGGTAACTGCCTATATTTTAAAAAAGAACAAAATAGAGAGAACTTTTAGCTAACTAAACTTTTTAGACTTCCCTTCTGAGAAGAGTACTTCTCCGTGAAAGGATGACTTAGTTTGAGTGTAAGATTGATTTTCTGCTCGTTGTTCTTTACTGTTTATGTTCTCTTTTTTACTACCACTTTTTTTTCCACCTTTATTCCACTTTACTGCGCTTCTTTACCTGCTGCTGCTGCCACCACCTTTACTTACTTTGTTCTTTTTTTCTCATATTTTTATCTTTATTTTTCCACATTTGATGATTGGCGTTGAAACTTTTTCCTGTTGGATTAGACCACCACCTTTCTTTTGCTATTAGCTTTGTATTTTATGTGATTCACTTTAAGGCTCTTGTTACTTCCAATTTTTGGTTATGGCCCTTTCAATGATCTTACCCGCGGATGCATTCTGTTGGCAATGCGCTAGCATTGTTGGAATATTCACGTTACCTTCAGCGTTCCAACATTAAGCATCACATTACTATCGATAAATTCTGGCAGAAGTTCAACGCGGTGTGACGATTCCATTCTTTGAGACTATTTATTTTACTTCTTTTACGGGTGGATTCATTCTGTTGTGCTGTTATTGAAATTTTTAATATGCTAAGTTCAATTTATTGATTGTTCAATATTATTTGTCGCTCATTCCTCAGGTTTTGTTTGATGTTCAACGACAAAGAGACTCTGAATATTCCTTTAATCTCTTTTCTTACCTTCAGAAACGATGTTACCAGATTAATTTGGTTTTGAGGGTTATAAGGCGTGGCATTACCTGGTTTTCTGTTCAGGTGTGCAAGCCAAGCAGCAATCCATCAGATCTGACAAATGCCCCAGTGTCTGAGCAGCTTTCAGTTCCCCTTCTTCTTCTTCTTCTTCTTCTTCTTCTTCTTCTTCTTCTTCTTCTTTCTTCTTTCTTCTTTCTTCTTTCTTCTTTCTTCTTTCTTCTTTCTTCTTCTTCCTTCTCCTCCTCCTCCTTCTCCTTCTTCTCCTCCTTCTTCTTCCTTCTTCTTCTTCCTCCTCCTCCTTCTCTTTCTTCTCCTTCTTCTTCTTCTTTTCTTCTTTTTTAGACAGAGTCTTGCTCTGTCGCCCAGGCTGGAGCGCAGTGGCGCTATCTCAGCTCACTGCAAGCTCCGCCTCCCGGGTTCACGCCATTCTCCTGCCTCAGCCTCCCAAGTAGTTGGGACTATAGGCGCCCATCACCACGCCCCGCTAATTTTTTGTATTGTTAGTAGAGACGGGGTTTCACTGTGTTAGCCAGGATGGTCTCTATCTCCTGACCTAATGATCCACCCGCCTTGGCCTCCCAAAGTGCTGGGATTACAGGCGTGAGCCACCGTGCCTGGCCAAATTATCCTTTTCTACTGTGGAATTAATGAACTCTCATTAATTGACAGTAAATATTGAATGGCTACCTGGTTCTTCTTACCATCTTCCATTGTTCAGCTGAAATGTCAAGAAAACAAAATATTTGATTCTCTAATCCAAATAAAATTAGTGAGGGGAAAGGATTCTAAACACAAAGATAAATGGGTTTGAATTCACTGCTATTTGGGGTTATATTTGTTGCTAATCTCCTTCCATAAGGTGAGGACTGGTTGTATAGATAGTAACAACTGAGGTTGTATATAAAGTAACTGAGGATTGGTTGTATAGATAGCATTAGCTGATGCCTTTGGCTAACTCTGTCTACCTCCAGGGTTTGTTTTAGAGTGTCTGTAGCTGGGCTCAAAAGGGAACTCTTCCAGAATGTACTGCCAAATGTCCTTTTCTTTGCAGCTGCGGAAACAGACAGGTGCTCGGATTGATGTGGACACAGAGGATGTAGGCGATGAGCGAGTGCTGCTTATCAGTGGTTTTCCTGTTCAGGTGTGCAAGGCCAAAGCAGCAATCCATCAGATCCTGACAGAGAATACCCCAGTGTCTGAGCAGCTTTCAGTTCCCCAGAGATCTGTGGGCAGAATCATAGGTACCACTGGATGGCTTCCTCTACTGTTTCCTTTATTCTTTACCTTTGCCTCTCTTTCACACCTTCCCAAGGATTTTTTCTGGCCTAGTTCCTCTTTACCATGTGAGGGGGGAAAAAGGGGCATTGAGACCAGAGGTTTACTGTTTGCAGAACTGGTGGTAAAACCAAACCTGTTTCCTCAAAAAGTTGTGTGATCTGAACCTTACAAATTGATTCTTTATGGGTTCTAGTAGATGTATTATATTTACCTTATAATTGATTTTTAAAGGGAAGCTCGGGATGCTCATGTTATCTCAAGTCATTTAAGATAGTGCTCTGGAGAGTACCTTTTATGCTTTCCCCTAGAGCATCACTTAATGCTGCTGTTAGAGGCAGAGAAATGTCCTGTCCTTGATCCAGTGTTCTGACACACCATGTAGCATATCTTATGACCTGATATGGCCATGCTGAGTGGTCAAAATGAAAATGACATGAAGTTAGCCAAAGTATAGAGTTTAAATAAAATGGAAAAAACAAAGAATATGGTATTCTCCTTTTCACAGTAATAATTTCAGTAGCTCCTGCTTTCCATTCAACATCTTGAATTTTGTTCACTTTAGAAATGAGAACTGATTCTCTTCTCCTAGTATATGCAAAACAGTGCTTTCTCCAGTAGCTAAGGTTGGCCAGGAGGGAAGGGCAGGTTTTTATGTATTGTTTAATGTAGGGAGAGGCGGCGAGACGATTCGTTCTATCTGTAAGGCCTCTGGAGCCAAAATTACCTGTGACAAAGAATCAGAAGGGACATTACTACTATCAAGACTTATAAAAATCTCAGGAACACAGAAGGAAGTGGCAGCAGCCAAGGCAAGTAGCTAATAGACTTGAATTATACCTGAGCATGAGAAGATCCTTTTACTCTATCCCGGGTCAGAGTATCAGCCTTTCTCTTATTTTCCACAGCATTTGATACTGGAGAAAGTTTCAGAAGATGAAGAGCTTCGAAAGAGAATTGCTCATTCTGCAGAAACCAGAGTCCCACGCAAACAGCCAATCAGTGTGAGAAGAGAAGACATCACAGAGCCAGGTGGAGCTGGAGAGCCAGCTTTATGGAAAAACACCAGTTCTAGCATGGAGCCGGCTGCACCCCTGGTGACTCCTCCACCCAAAGGAGGAGGCAACATGGCTGTGGTGGTGCCAAAGGAAGGTTCCTGGGAGAAACCTAGTGATGACAGCTTTCAGAAGTCTGGAGCCCAGGCCATCCCAGAGATGTCCATGTTTGAAAGTATGTAACAAAGAGGGAGCCCATTAATCATAGAACATAGAAATACTGGCTTAGACATTGGAGAGATTAGAAGGAATGCTTTCTCAGTCTGTGACCAGCCAGTATAATATGGCTGGGGTCAGGACAGAAGATTCAGTAAGATGTTATGAAGATGGGATGGAGGTAGAATCCACACCAACAGTTGGTGGACATTTGAGGATGCAGATGTTGATCACTGAAAATGATTTATGCAGGTTTAAGATTCTGCTCCTAATTGCAGGAGAGAACTTGGTGCCTCTTCCACTCTGGAGCAAAGTTGGTGAAAGTCTTCTTCCTTTTCCAAAACCCAACCTGAACCACTTCTTTCTTGAGACAGACTATACTGAGATAAGTTGTCACCAGCAAAAGATAGATATGTGACCTTTATTAACAAAGGTGAATTAACCAAGAGGATATTTGTAGTTTATTATTTGCCCCAAAACATTCTGTGTCTGGGTACCCTCTGAGTAGGCCTATAATTCTTGCCTTCACTGTATGCATTTTTTATGAGCTAGCAGACCTATGTGGTGAGAATGCACAGGAGCTTGGAGGTATAAGTAGACAGGGTGGGAAAGAGAGAGCTCCTTTTGCCATGTTTTACCAGCCTGCTCTGTTATAACCTCTTAGGTTATATCCTTTAATTTCCAACCTTCTAGGTTAGTTTCTGTAACAGAACAAATGAGTCTGGGATAAAGTCCTAAAAATACTTCAAATGGTAATTGTTTTGTTTTTGTAACAGCTTAACAAATAACCTAGGTTTTCTGCTAAAAAAAGAAAAAGAAATACTGGCTTAGGGCGTGGTGGTGCAACCTGTGGTCCCAGCTACTTGAGAGGCTGAAATGGGAGAATCACATGAGCCCAGGAGGTCGAAGCTACAGTGAGCTGGGATTACACCGCTGCACTCCAGCCTGGGTGACAGTGAGACCCTGTCTCAAAAAAAAAAAAAAAAAAATTAAATATTTTTTTAAAAAGAAATACTGGCTTAGATTACCCAAAATAGAAAGCAATAAAAAGCTTGTTTTATGAATATACTTATGTCTATCATCAGAGATATTCCTTTCTGGTAATAATATTTTACTTGAATTAATACTAAACATAAATATTTTTCTAAATATAAAACAGCTGATGAAAATGGCAAAATGCTGACACAGGAAACAAATGAGTAATACATCAAATAATTGGATTTACCTGATATTGTTTCTCTAGACATACTTTTTTTTTTTTTCGAGACAGAGTCTTCCTCTGTCTCCCAGGCTGGAGTGCAGTGGCGTGATCTCAGCTCACTGCAACCTCTGCTTCCCAGATTCAAGCGATTCTCATGCCTCAGCCTCCTGAATAGATGAGACCACAGATGCACACCATCACACCCGACTGATTTTTGTATTTTTTAGTGGAGATGGGGTTTCACCATGTTAGACAGGCTGGTCTCAAAGTCCTGGCCTCAAATGATCCATCCTCCTTGGCCTCCCAAAGTGCTGGGATTACAGGCATGAGCCACCACGCCCAGCCTAGACATACTTTATCAACAAGTAAAATTCTCAGCCAGATTTTATATTGCCTGTTTCATTATTGTTTTTAAAAATCATCACTATTGAAAAAGAAAAGGCTGTGAGCTATCTCTTCTCTACATAGGTGCTAGCATGGGCAAAGAGGACCTGGGTCCCCAAGAAGCTCACAGACTTGTCCAGGGTGACATAAGCAGTCATTGGTAGAATGGGATCTGGAACAGGCCCACATCCGTCGCTGTCCACGTAAAGGTTGCTGTCCACATATCTTTTTACTGATCCATGCTGCAGCTAGTGTATGGAGGTTTACCTTCTTTATAATTGGTGACTGATTTGAATACGTAGCACATGACAAAGAATGTAAGCTGTTATTACTCAGTTACATGGAAAGGTACAAAGGATAGCTTAGTATCTTTCTTTAGGATATTCTTGTTTGATTCATCCAGTTGCCTCTCCTGCCATTTTAAAGTGGTAACAGCCATTGGTATTTGTACCTCTCACTGCCCTGGTGTAATCTCTTCATTCCAACCAGAGATGGGTCCGATGTGGCCACCATCCTTATCTCTGTGTTTAGTCCCCAGTCCTGACTTCAGTTTCCATGCTGATGAGTACCTAGAAGTCTACGTCTCTGCTTCTGAACACCCTAACCACTTCTGGATCCAGATTGTTGGCTCCCGCAGCCTGCAATTGGATAAGCTTGTCAATGAGATGACCCAGCACTATGAGAATAGTGTGGTGAGTTGCCACAGGGACAGGGCTGGGGTTTAATGAAAAGAAGGCAGATCTTTTTCATTGTACTCTCTTCCTTTCCCTGTGGAGTAACTACTTGTTCTTTCTTCCACCTATGATTCTGTTTATGAGCCTACCACTTTGCAACTCTGCTTTTCTCCTCCTCCCTACATATAGCCTGAAGACTTGACTGTGCATGTAGGAGACATTGTAGCAGCACCTTTACCTACAAATGGTTCCTGGTATCGAGCCAGGGTCCTTGGCACCTTGGAGAATGGGAACTTGGACCTCTACTTTGTTGACTTTGGAGATAATGGAGATTGCCCACTGAAGGACCTCAGGGCTCTCAGGTCAGTGCTGAGGTCAGCTGAATCCCAACTACTGACTCCGTTCTGGCCATAGGGTGGTGAGCTGTTGGCAGTTGTCAGGGGTATTTGGAAGGGAACCTGTTTACAGAGAGCAGATGGTTATCGTCTCATATTAGTCGGTTCTTTCTAAAAGAGCAATATAAGAAGATGTTTCTGGCCCCAGGATTCTAATTTTAGTTTCTTTTACTTCAGGAGTGACTTCCTAAGCCTTCCATTTCAAGCAATAGAATGTAGTCTGGCACGGATCGCTCCCTCAGGTAAATTGGTCATGCCACCTTTTGAGCTTGCCTTCAAATAGAATAACTTTCATACAGTTCATTGGAAGGAATTCTCACATTCCCAGGCTTTTTGAATTCTGGGGAGTCAGGTGCCTTTTCCTCCCCAACACTAGCAGCAGCCAGAAACTTGCCTGGCAGACTCAACCCGACCGGAGAAGACACAGGTGCCTTCCTGAGTAGAAAAGGGTAGTTCCAGCTTCCCTCCAGGGTATAATCCCCACCCCTATCAGCAGTAACCCCTACAATCTTTTGCCAGGTGACCAATGGGAAGAGGAAGCTTTGGATGAGTTTGATAGACTCACTCATTGTGCTGACTGGAAGCCTCTGGTAGCCAAAATCTCTAGCTATGTCCAGACTGGGATCTCAACTTGGCCAAAGATCTACTTATATGATACTAGCAATGGGAAGGTAAGACTGGTATTCACTCACTGCTTACCATATCTTCAGTATATTTATGGCCTAATTTACTTTTTCTTTCTCAGAAACCCTTATCTGATATTACTCTTACTTTTAAGATCCTTCTCACCATCTCACCAAAGGAATGTCTTTGAAGTGTCAGTCCTTCTGCCTTGTTTCCTCAAATTTGCCCTTGCTTACTGAGAGAACATCATTTGCTTTTCATTTTTCTTCTCAGAAACTTGATATTGGGCTAGAATTAGTACACAAAGGATATGCAATTGAGCTTCCTGAAGACATAGAAGAAAACAGAGCTGTCCCAGACATGTTGAAGGACATGGTGAGCCATTGTAGTTATATAGGGTGCTGCTTCCAGGCAAATCTAGCACATAGACACTAAGGACTTATAGTCCTGATACTGTGTTAGCTTTCCTGAGGACTTTGAGCTCCTCCAGTAGTTGACCAAAGGAGCATTTTGTCCCTCTTGGTAGCCAAATGCAACTGCCTTAACCAGGTCCTATGAGAAGAATGAAAGGGTGGCCTCTTTTTTCCTAAAAGCCAACATGTTCCTCCATTTTTACTGTTTTCATCCACTCAGGCCACAGAAACAGATGCCTCTCTCAGCACCTTGCTCACTGAGACCAAAAAGAACTCTGGAGAGATAACACATACCCTGTCCTGCCTCAGCTTATCAGGTACAAGCAGTATTTCCTCCCTAGAGCATCTTTGGAGATTAACTTTTCTCATTCAGTCGTTCCAGACTAGGGAGGTTAATTGAAGGCTTGGTTCCTAGTCAGGTCATTGAGCACCAAGAGATCTATTTTTCATTTGAGCCTCACTGGCAGTGCCTGCTGGAGTAGGGCAGTGTCTAACTTTCTCCTTCTTATTTCTCTTCAATAGAAGCTGCTTCCATGTCTGGTGATGATAACCTTGAAGATGACTACTTACTCTGAAGTCTGGGCTTCAGCTTGCTCAGCCATCTGCTTTGCTGTGTGAGTGCAGCTATCATCTTATCTATAGCAACAGGAAAGTAATGAGGGTGACAGTGGGGCACTTGCTTTGATTCCCTCTTCCCTGTGCCCTGTCTTAATATACTTCTTTGCAGCTGCTTTCCTGCAGCTTAACTTGCTCTCAGATTGAGCACTTTCAAGCTTTTTGTGTATTTCTGTCTTTGGCAGGATTTGGCATAGGAACTGGTGCCTGGAGGAGAGGAGTATATGATAAAGGATCCATGTAGTCCTTCCTTTATTACACGTACAGTCTGACTTGCTGTGGACCAAATTCATGTTCTCCTCCCATTGGACTACCAAAAAATTGGACTACCACACTACAAGTGTGTCTCCCCCATTCCACCTCCTGATCCCTCCCCAACCCTCCAGTGTTTGAATACTGCTGTGTTACTTCCGGGCCATTCAGCGTCAGGCTCAGTCCCTCTACCAGTCATGATACACATTACTGCTAGGCTGTATCCTTTTCGAGGCTGGGAAACAGTCAGGCTTTGGTCATTGGAAGTGATGATTCTGCAGACTTCTGACTCACCTTATCAGGTGACTCTGGTTAAGGAAAGCTTTTGAGTGGTGAACTCAAAGACTCCAGTTGAATCAGGAGGCAAAGGCAAAAATTAGCATAATTATATTTAAAAGCCTCAGGAAGTGGGAAGAGAACACTGCCTCCTAGCCTCAATTGCTGATATGTTATTGGGGACAGGCTTTTGAAACTGCTTCGGCTATTTCTCCATAACCTTTAGTTAAAATACAAGTAGAAAGGACACAGGAGGCACAGGAAATTTTCTAAATTGCTAGTATAATATCTATATGTATACACACACATACACCCGTGGAGAGAGAGGAAGAGTATACAGTTCTGTTTAAATCATTCGGAGGATTTTTTTGCCGAATAAAGTTCTCAAGAAAATTTTCTAAAACCAAATTCTGATTGAATCACAAGGTGGAAGCAGGCTGTGAGCCTAAATCTGGTGAAAACTGCCAGCTGCCTCACAGAAAGGCAAGTGTCCCTCCCATATACACATTCATATTCTTTTCCTAAAGTCACTTCAGAAATAACCATTCACTGGCTGGGCATGGTAGCTCACACCTATAATCCCAGCACTTTGGGAGGCTGAGGCTGGCAGATCACTTGAGGCCAACATGGTGAAACCCCATCTCTGCTAAAAATACAAAAAATTAGCCGGGCATGGTGGCATGCACCTGTCGTCCCAGCTACTTGGGAGGCTGAGGCAGGAGAATCACTTGAACCTGGGAGGCAGAGGTTGCAGTGAGCTGAGATCACGCCACTGCACTGTAGCCTGGGCGACACTCTGTCTCAAAAAAAAAAAAAAAAAGCCGGGCGCAGTGGCTCATGCCTGTAATCCCAGCACTTTGGGAGGCCAAAGTGGGCAGATCACAAGGTCGGGAGATTGAGACCATCCTGGCTAACACGGTGAAACCCCGTTTCTACTAAAAATACAAAAAATTAGCCGGGCATGGTGGCAGGTGCCTGTAGTCCCAGCTACTTGGGAGGCTGAGGCAGGAGAATGACGTGAACCCAGGAGGCGGAGCTTGCAGTGAGCCGAGATCACGCCACTACACTCTAGCCTGTGCAACAGAGCGGGACTCCGTCTCAAAAAAAAAAAAAAAAAATAGAAAAATTAGCTGGGTGGTGGCAGGCACCTGTAATCCCAGCTGTTCAGGAGGCTGAGGCATGAGAATCACTTGAACCTGGGAAGCGGAAGTTGCAGTGAACCCAGATCATGCCACCACACCGCCAGCGTGGGCAACAGAGCAAGACCTTGTCTCAAAAAAACAAAAATATTCACTAAGAACCAGAACCAATTTAGGTTTAGGCTATATGAATAAGACCCCACCTATACTATTCAAAAGAAAAGGCCCAGATTAAGATTCGAGAAACCTGGATTCTAGGAGCAGCTCTGGTAAGTAGCTCATGTAGTCTTGGAGGACTCTTTAAGGAGTAGATCTCCACTGTAAACTTTTTCCAAAATTTTAACGTGTTTCCTTGTAGTATCTTTCCATTTCTGACAGTGCTGTGACACTCCAGTGAGAGCCCTGAAGTACTTGAGGTGCTTGGAAGTAAATATAAATGTATAGTAATGTGGATGGTAGAAAAATGGCAAGTGAAATGAACTTTTTTTAAGGATAAAGCAAGATAAACTAGAAAATTAAAAATTAACACATAAGGATGCCTCACACAGGTCTTTTAAATTTAGGGATTAGTGAAGTCTACCTATATACTACATGGCAACTATATTTTCTCACAACCACAATTCTCAAAATTTATTTTCTCAGAAAAATCTCAGTATTAGGCACCGGTGGCTCACGCCTATAATCCCAAAGCTTTGGGAGGCTGAGGCGGGCAGATTGCTTGAGCTCAGGAGTTCAAGACCAGCCTGGCACCATGCTGAAACCCCATCTCTACCAAAAATACAAAAAAGTAGGCGTGGTGGTGTGTGCCTGTGGTCCCAGCTACTTGAGAGGCTGAGGTGGGAGGATCGCTTGAGCCCGGGGGGCAGAGGTTGCAGTGAGTGAGCCAAGATTGCACCACTGTACTCCAGCCTGTGTGACACAGCCAATGCTGTCTCCAAAAAAAAAAAAAAGAAAAATCTCAGTAACAATTAGCAGAAAGGTTCTGGTGAAGGAACAGCTCTGGGGAGTAGTTCATGTAGTCTTGGAGGAATCTTTAAGGGACTTCCATTTATTTGATGTTTCAGATGTTGGCTGCAATGAACTCGCTGAAGCATGCTCAGCCCTGGAATTGGTGCTACCAGAGTTCCTTGGGGAACCTTTACTCTTTAGAGATCCCTAATATAAATCATAAGACTTCCTACCCTGGAAAATGAGTAATGTCTCATTCTTACCTGCAGTTTGTTACTATGTATAAAAGTCTTTTTCTTTAATATGCCTTTAAGTCTGACCTGTTTACAGCCCATTCTGATGGGCTGTCATTCTGTTAGTATAACCCAGTACTTTTCCTGCTCCCTGGAATGCTGTCTTGTATGTTACCTATTCTGTCTGTTGAGAATCCCCCACTTGGACCAAAGCCAAGAGATCTATGTGTCTTCTCTGGTTTTCTCCACATCTATAGCACCTCAACTGAAATATATGGATAAAAACAGCCCAACAAAGCTTAGTCTTTCTGAACTAGGGATTTCACTGATTAGTGCTCAGTAAATGGTTAGAATAAATGAGGAAATGGTTTGGGGCATGGAGGAAGGCAAAGGGAACCAAAAATCCTTGGGTACTTTCCCTCTGTAGTTCAGGTCCCTGTGATCTTTTTAGTGAATTTAGCTCTGTAAGGTGTATGTCCCACTCTAGCCAACCCTATTACCCACCCCCGCCCCCCACCCCCGCCCCCACCCAAGAAACAGTGAACACTTGATGATTGCAACTACCCTTTATTCCTAGGATGGAAGGTGTTCTGAATTACATCTCGGGCCCCTGATCCCCAGGTGTCAAGGCTTCTAGCCCCTCAAAGCGTTGGAATAAGCACGTTCAAGGAGGCTCACTGGGCAGGTGGCCAACATCCCTTTCAAGGGGATACACCATAAAGATGACATTGTCCCAGGGAGGGAGGGCAGGGTGACCTGGTCTGACCACCTCAAAGCCCATGTAGCTGAAGGCCCGCAGCAGGGCACCTGTGAAAGGATAGAACAAATGATTAGAACATGCTTTAAAACTCAATACATGTATGCCCCCAGATTTGATTTCTTCCACTAGGGAGTGGCCCTGGGAAGCAGTGTAGTGCAGGCATATAGGATGTGCTTTAGTCAAACAGACCTAGGCTCTAACCTCGGCTTTAACACTTGTTCTGTGAGTTAGTCCTTCAGAACTTCAGTTTCCCATTTATAAAATTTTCCATGTATAAATCATAGAACCTTCCTCCTCACAGAATTTAAGATTAAATGAGATGTTCATGAAGTGCTTAACACTAGAGATTGGTGAGGTCTACTTATATACTAATACAATGATGGCATAGTAAGCTCTGAAATAGTAGCTATCACTTATGAATGGTTATTCACCATCCCTTGTCTTATATCCAACAGAGTTTGAACTCCGTGAGGCAAGAGGCTGTGGTTTTTGTAACATATGCTCCAGGCATCTAGTTAAATATGTTCCCATTCCCTTGGCCTTATGTCTGACCCTTTCACATTGTACGTGCTCAATATATTTGAGATCCATTTTGTCCTGCTGACCACATCCTTCGAGTGGATTCTGTCTAATTTTGCCAGTGCTCCTTCAGTCTGGCCCCTAACACCACCTGCAGGGGCTTCCTCAGAGTCCACTTGTAACTTGATGGAACAGAATGGAAGGCACTTTAACTTCCTTCGCGGTGGGTGGGAAGAAAATAATCCCTGAAATGCCTGAGGGTGCATTTTTAAAGATGGGGGAAGAGGGTCTCCTATAAAGGAAAAGCAGTTATCCAGCTGCCTCAGTACGAAAAGCAAGGAAGAACAGCAGATCCCCACCTCTGTCGTTCCGATCATTCTGGAAGTTCACAAACACGGAGTCCACATTTGTCTTCTCTTCCACGTACTCCAGCGTTGCAGTCAAACTAGCAGCCACAGAAAAACAGTTAAAATGTTTGGCCAACTCAGAATCCAGAAAGACACCTACTTGGAGCAGAAAATATCTTATTGGTTGTTTTCTGCCCTCCACCCACCCAAGCCAGGAAATGGAATTTGTTAAACTAGTTTTGGTAGATTTTTCTCTGAAGCCAAGAGATTGCACACCACTGGATGTAAGCCACAGAAGGGGCCTGGAGAGAAACGACTACTGAGATGAACAGTTAGAAAGTACTTCCCGTTATTCAACTATTTCTGGATCTGAGTCCAACTTCCCATGGACTCTTATCCCTTGAAACCCAGATCCTGGCTTAGCTCACAGGCTTGTCTGCATGCCAGGTGAATGGATTGCTTATATCTAGCTCTAGAATTAGCCCTATGTACTATGACATGATAGAAGGGTGAAATCCCCTACCTGTTCCCTCCCCATTCTCCCTTCCAGGCTCAGTCACCTTTCCCGGTTGCCTTGATCCAAGGCCCGATATGGGATATCCAGGAAGAGTCGACGGTCACAGAGAAGGCCGTGCCAATGGGCGGAGGTTTGGGAGGTGAGGCGGAAGTGAAAGTCTAACTGTACTGGGTCCTGGTGGAGCAGGGGGTCAGTAGCTAGCACCGTCAAGTTCCCAGCCTGGAAAAGGAGTAAAAATGCTCCTCTAGCCTTCAAATCAGACCTCAGGCAGATTGGGGTGTGTCCATTGAAGCAAGGTGGGCGTTGATGGGGGGAGCCTGGGAGAATCGGAGCCAAGATCTTAAAGATGCAATAATATCCTTTAGTCCTAGGAACTAATAGCCTATGCCTATTATGGAGTTCTCCTTTATATCAAACAATCCAGCTGAGGCAGTATTACTGCCTGCTGACTTCAACGCAGGAGTACGATAACCATTTAGGAACTTAGAAATGTTTACATCAGAGAGCTTAGGATTTAAACAAAGCTTTATAATGTGCTTCCTTTCTCACTAATAATTTACACTTTTTTCATTATATGGGTTTTCTCTAAATTCTTCTATTTAAAATGCTATGATTACAACCAGGCTTGTTATTGCAATATGATATGTGGGCAAGTTCTGGATTCCAGATCCTGCATAGCATCTAAACAGCTTTATGTCCCAGAAGTCCTATAAAGTTCGTTCTACCTTTGTCCCCACTCCCTTTTTTCCCATCCTGATTTTCACTACCATCTGTATGACCTTGATTTTATAGTCTGTGGGCCAGAATCCTTGTCTATATAAAAAGTAGCTTTTACACATGCATTCCAGGATTCCATCTACCTCTATAATTGATCTTCCAACTTGCCAATGTCCCTCCTCTGCAAGGTATGCAAGCAAAGGGCTGCCCTGTCACAGCACCAGCTCACAGTTCACTTACCGAGTACAGTTCTTTAAGCTGGTCGTGGTTACCCTGCTCGGTGCTTTTGCCCACCTGGAGGCCTACTAGGGACTCAGGAGCACTGGAGGCAGGAACGGGGCTGGAGTGTCAAGTCCTCCTCTTCCTTATAAGTGATGCTGGTTGGGAAGGAGACCCAAATTAGTTTATCTTGGAATCTGAGATGGGAAGACATAACTTCTAGATACACAGTACCAGGCTCTGGCATGATCTGTATTTTCTGTTGTCCAGCCTGTTTCTATGTTCCTGGGTCAACCAGATGGAAATATTCTAAAGTTCCATGCCAGCTTTCCACCCCCTATTCTGTTGTTATTTCTTGCTATTTGGGAAATTCTTTCAAATTCTTACACTTTTTCCTTACATTTTATATAAACAACTACAAACAGAGATGAAAAGAAGTACCTTTTATAACAACGAGGCAGCATCTTCTCCCGGAGGGTGATCCGGTACTTGTAACAGTAAAGGTAATAGGCGTATGGTGACCAGATCGGGTAGAGGTAGTTACGTGTTTTTCCCCTCTTGATATAAGAAAGGGAGTAGACAGAGGGGCGACACCTGTTACAAGGCAGTTTTTCAGTTCAGTGCCTCCCTGTGGCAAAGTGAGGTTCACAGGTGGGTGGCAGAGGTTTAGGCAACCTGGTGTCATTGTGACCCACTGGGCACTATGACATGGACAAGGGGTCAGCCCTTATGTCACCTCAGGACTCCACTCTGCTGCTCACCTACCCTAATCCCTTATCTAAGGCTCATATTCGACTAGTATGGACGTTATGGCTGTATGAATGATTTAAAAATAGAACTTGAAGACTTCTGTACTGGTTGGCCAAAAGCCCTGCCTGAGCACTTGTGCCCACCCACCCTGTTCCTCTGGGGACACTCCCCTTCCCCTAAAATCCAGCAAATAAAGAGTTGGTATCTGACACTGCAGGAGTCTTCCAAGGCTCTGATCCAGTGGTGACCTGATTAGTTGGTTCCCAGTTCATACCAGTTGAGTGTTTTTATTATCCCTACCCTTAATAACCCAGGGTTGCTACAGATTGTTGAATCCTACCTTGTAGGGTAGGAATTGCAAACTAAATGCCTTCAGGGGCCTAGACAGCTTATGGAAATTAGTGGAGAGGCAGGGTAGGGCTGTAGCAAAATAGGAAAGCTCACACCTTATCTAAAGGAAGTCCACACAACTCAGTTCCATCCAGTTCCATGCAGGAATGCAGACTTGATGGTGCTGTATCATATGATTTTTGAACAGAAACTGAAAAGACAGTTTTGTAGTAAATTTCTCCAATTTTAAAAAATATCGACTACTAAAAAAAGGTTGATACATTGTAAGCAAAATTTGGTTCTGGGGCTGCCAATTTGAGACCTCTGCATATTTATCCATTCAACAAATATTTATTGAGGGTCTATTATGAGCCAGGCACTATTCTAGGTGCTTGAGATACATCAATGAACAAAACAAATCCCTGCCCTATGGAGCATATCTTCCAAAAGTGAGAGGACAACCCCAGAAAAATAAACATAGTAAATTATTTAGTATGTTAGAGGGTAACTGCTATGGGGTGGGGAGAATAGAGGAAGATAAAGGAAGATAAGGAAAGTGAAGGGGATGGGTCAGGGTTAGAGTAACAAATTGGGTGATCTCTCATTGAAAAAAACTGACATTTAATTAAACACTTGGAGGATGTGAGGTTGTTAACCAAGCCAGCATCTGAGGATGAGAGCATCCAATGCAAAAGCAGCCAGTGCAAAAGCCCTGAGCAGGAAATGTGCCTGCTGTTTTCAAGAAACAAGGAGGCCACTGTGGGTGGAGCAGTGTAAACTACAGAGGAGCCAATGGGGTCAGATTACGTATGGCCTTGTAGACCATTTGATGGCCTTTTTCTTTTACCTTGAGTAAAGGAGGAAGTCATTACAAAGTTTTGGGTGGAAGAATGACATGATCTGACTTATGCTTTAAAAAGATCATTCTGGCTGCTATAAATAAGCTACAGAGAATTATACACTGTAGAGAATTAAGGGATATCTTTTAGGGGACTATTGCAGTAATCCAGGAGAAAGTCGTGGCTTATTCCAGGGTAGAGCATTGGAGGTGGTGACAAATGGTTGGATTCTGGAAATACAAGTGCTCCTTGACTTACAATAGGGCTATGTCCTGATAAACCCATCGTATGTTGAAAGTATCATAAGTTGAAAATGCATATAATACACCCACCAAACACCATAGCTTAGCCTAGCGTACCTTAAACATGCTCAGACAACTTAGCCGACAGTTGGGTAAAATCATCTAACACAAAGCCTATTTTATAATAAAGTGTTGAATATTTCATGTAACTTATTGATGTCCTACTGAGTGCACATCACCTTCACACCATCACAAACTCAAAAATTGTAAATCCAAGTCAGGGACTATCTGTAATTTAAAGGTAGAACCCACAGGATTTCCTGATGGAGTATGAGGGAAAAGAGTTAGAATGGAAAGAATGGAGTTTCTGTCAACTGAGAGGAGAAAGGCTGCAAATGGGGGAGTTTTGGGGGGGGGGGGGGGGGGCATAAATAAATTAGGACAGTTAACTTTGAAGTGTCCTTTAGATACATAAGAGGAAAATGACGAATAACAGTTGAATATTTGAGACGAGTTTGGGAGATGTCTAGGATGGAACTAGAAATTTGGGAGTCACTGGCATATAAATGGTATTGTAAGCCACGAGACTGGATGAGATCAACAGTGACTGTATACTGAGAAGAGTAAAGGTTCAAAAACGGAGTCCCAGGGGCATTCTAAGAAGCAGGGAGAAAAGGAGAAATCAGCAGAGGAGACTGAAGAAGACCGGTGTCCCGGAGGCCACGTAAAGTGTATTTAGCAGGAAGGAGGACTGGTCAGTATGTTTAAGGGCCAGTCTTTCCATAATCTCTGCCAAACGGACCTTCTTTCATCCAATTTTTATGGTCTTCTGTCCAATACTGAGACCCTCCCCAGAGGGAACTGTCGGGGCCCTACCATAGTTGCTTTTTTTCTATGGCTTACATAGCTTGTGATTTAGAATTCTCCTTTATTAGCTTAAATACTGCAGTGTAATGATTAAGGGTTAGGCTCCTCCTGGAGCTGGCAGAGTTTTCCAAGGGATCCCATCCTTTACTACTTTTAGGTAGATTTGAAGTAAGGAAAAGTGAGAGCATCATTCATTCTCCCGTCAGTATCCAGTCATCACAAAACGTCAGAATTAAGTTACCCCAGCAACTAGAGCTAAAGCAAAGCCCACACTTTTAGAGGAAGAGCGTCTTTTCCGGCGTCAGTCCACCTAACACTCATTCCATTATCAGTCAGTAATTCTGGGCGTCCCTCCCCTCTGCCAAAAAGAAAAAATAGGTAAGCCGCACTGCCATCTGTCCCCCGGCCCGCTCCCCATCCACCAGTTCAGCCCGGATCAAAGCCGCCCCGGCGCGCCGCAGGCAGCCCTGGCGGGGGCCTTTCTGACGCCCGACGCCGGGGTCCTCCCTCAGGTCTCATTCTGTGCCTGCGAACATGGCGGCGCTCGTGGTAACAGGTCCGGGCAGAGCTCTGCTACGGGCGGGCACTGAGCGGCTGCTGCGGGGAGGTATCCAGGAGCTACTGCGGCCGCGACATGAAGGGAACTCCCCTGGCCTGGCGCGCGACTTCAGCCTCTCTCAAAATCGGGTGAGGGCCGAGTCTGGGGTAGGGGGTAGATAACGCTCCTGGAGGAGGGGGTAGATAACGCTCCTGGAGTATTGTTCCTGGAGGCTCACTGGGACCTAGAGGGGGCCGATGTGGGGGTGGCGGGCTTTCCTTTAGGGGCTGGAGGCCGTGGTGGAGGGAGACGGTGTTCCTTGTGGAGACTAGCTCACCGTTGCTTTCCTGGCCGCCAGGGCACGGTCATCGTGGAGCGCTGGTGGAAGGTACCGCTGGCCGGGGAGGGCCGGAAGCCGCGCCTGCGCCGGCGACATCGCGTCTATAAGCTGGTGGAGGACACGAAGCATCGGCCCAAGGAAAACCTGGAGCTCATCCTCACGCAGTCGGTGGAGAGTAAGACCCGGGCCGAGGCGCCTCCTCTCAGGCTGGTCCAATTTGGCATCAGCTTTTTCCTGCCCGTCCCCCTCAACTGTTTGCCTTGTTTTTTCTTTGTGGAAATAATCAGCTCTATATGTGAGAAGAGGAAGCCATAAAAACTATTGTGATTGTGACATTGGCCTCCAGCATTGAAAATTAAAACATAAAGACAGCAACATCGTTAACAGTGTGTGGGGAGAGGAGCCTGACAATTTGTGTCACAGATACTGAAATCCTGTCATGGGACAACTCCTCCCTGTATACAGAGGATATTAAATTTATACATCAAGTCGTAAAGAAACTAATTAGCAGTCTCTTAAATCTTGTTCCTAGTGAATATGAATTAGCATTTCTTTTAGGAAAAATAAGCACTGTGAGAAATTAAGAGGTGCTTCTCTCTTTGATCATCTTTTCTTTAGGGACTCCTAGATGGTTCTGATCCCCTCTCTCTGTTCTCATTGACAGATATTGGAGTCCGGGGTGACCTGGTGTCAGTGAGGAAATCTTTGGGCCGGAATCGACTCCTTCCTGAGGGACTGGCTGTATATGCATCCCCTGAAAATAAGAAGCTGTTTGAAGAGGAGAAATTGGTGAGCTCAAAGGAAGGACAGAGAGACTTGGAGAGATAAAACAACTTTTCTCTCGCAGCTTCCTTCCGTTTGATATTTAACTTGAAAATGAAATAGGAACTAGAAGAACAGGAATCCAGAAGCCCAGCCAATGCCCAGCATGGGAATAGTTTGATGCTATTTAACATGGGTTCATTTTTCTCTTACTGCTTTTCATCTTTAACTTTCTTTTCTAGCTGAGACAAGAAGGAAAATTAGAGAAGCTCCAGACCAAGGCAGGTGAAGCGGTGAGTAGAAACGTAAAAAGTATTTATTGGTCACTTACAAGACTTAACAACCTCACCCTGAGAGTCTTCCTGATTCCCTTGAGGTCTCCTGATTGCAGGCAGATCCAAGAGTGGGAGAAAGGGGAAGTGTTGTGGCTGCCCCACAAAACCGGTATGGAGACCTCTTGGGAGATCCCTGATGTGTTGGGTGAAGTGCCCTAAAGTACCAAGGGAGGTCCCAATCTGGGAATCAGGGAACCCATGGAATAGTCTGAGATGAGGCCTCCACCTTCAAGGATATTTATGTACAAGTTGGAGAGAACATAGACACATGAGAAGATAATCAGTACAGGCGCCCGCCACCACACCCAGCTAATTTTTGTATTTTTGGTAGAGACAGGGTTTTGCCATGTTGGCCATGCTGGTCTCAAACTCCTGGGCTGAAGTGATCCACCCACCTTGGCCTTCCAAAGTGCTGGGATTTCAGGCGTCAGCCATCGTGCTTGGCTTGCATACCTTGTGAACTGACATGTTTCCTCTCCTTTGACTCCAACTCATAATTCCTTTCAGACAGTGAAATTTCTAAAAAGCTGTCGCCTGGAGGTAGGAATGAAGAACAATGTCAAATGGGAGCTGAACCCTGAAATAGTTGCCCGCCACTTCTTCAAGAATGTGAGTGTTCCCAAAAGCCACTCTACCCCTGAGGTGGAAGCTGCCTCTGGGAAGGAGGCCTGAGATTGATCCCTTTGTTAGGGAGAGGTGTGATCATCCAGCTGTAGTTAGGGAAAGTATTCTTGGTTGGTTTGCAGGCGTATGGGAAGGAAATGGCTAAGGACTGAGGATGGTCACATAGAATTTGAAGATTGGTAGGAAAAGGTGATGGTTTCCATTTATTTCCTGTCTACCTAGGGAAATGCTGGGGATTTGTGACTCACTGGAGAATTGTTACTTCTGTAGATGAAGTGGTTTTGGCCTCAAACCCTGTTTCTCTGTGAATCTACCTCCCTTTCTGAGAAATCAGAATTGAATTTCTCTACTACTGTCTATGAAGGTGTATGCCCTTCTCTCCCATGGAATCAGCCAGAGTAGACACCCCAGTTTTATTCATCCCTGTGCAGGAAATCCTGTAACCCTTTTTATGAGGTTACCTAAAGTGGCAGTCACAAAAACAGTTCATTTGAGCTGAGATTTTTTTTTTTTTCCAGCTTGGTGTTGTGGTTGCCCCACATACATTAAAGTTACCAGAAGAGCCTATCACACGGTGGGGCGAGTATTGGTGTGAGGTGACGGTGAGTGTTTTGCACACTTTCTTTTCTTCTTTTCTTTCTCCTTTTTCACCCCCTTTTTCCTTTTTTTCCTTTTTCTTTCCCAGGACAGGGTTTTGTTTCATTGCCCAGGCTGGATTCAAACTCCTGGGTTCAAGTGATCCTCCCACCTCAGCCTCCCAGGTAGCTAGCTAGGACTACAGGCATTAGCCACCGCACCTGGCACCTAGCTCTCCCTTTTTTCTTTTTCTTTTTTTTTTTTTTGAGATGGAGTCTCACTCTGTTGCCCAGGCTAGAGTGCAGTGGCATGATCTCAGCTCGCTGCAACCTCCACCTCCCAGGTTCAAGCGATCCTTCTGCCTCAGCCCCCCTAGTAGCTGGGATTACAGGCATATGCCACCATACCTGGCTAATTTTTGTATTTTAGTAGAGACAGGGTTTCCCCATGTTGGCCAGGCTGGCCTCAAAACTCCTGACCTCAGGTGATCCATCCGCCTCAGCCTCCCAAAGTGCTGGGATTACAGGCATGAGCCACTGTGCCCAGCCCTAGTTCTCCTTTTTCTGACTGGGAGAAAAGTCAGGGTGAAAAGCTGGGATTAGGTAGTGTTAATTCTTACCTACCCGACTGATCTCTGAGAATTCCCATTGTTTTGTGTGCAGGTAAATGGGCTTGATACTATAAGAGTGCCTATGTCTGTGGTGAACTTTGAGAAGCCCAAGACCAAAAGGTATAAGTACTGGTTAGCCCAGCAAACTGCCAAGCACATGGCCCCCACCAGCCCCCAGATCTAAATCTCTCCCTCCAAGACAGCAAAGCAGAATCAGGAGCAGTGGAGCAGAAATGGGCAAGCACCTTGATCTCACTCCCAGTTCTGACCAAATACAGAATTTTAGAGAACATCTGAAGACATCAGACTGCACTGCATATACATGTTGAATTCTTCATTTTTGCCATCTTTAACTATCGTCACTGGGGCAGTCTTGTTCCAGAAGTACCAGGCTATAGATTTGATAAGCCAGATACAATAGACCGAAACCATCCAAAACCTGTTTAGCTTCTTCCTCCATTGGAGTTTATTGGGACAAACAGAAGAACCAGCCATTGTCTCCAGTACTTGCCACATTCTCATCATCCAAACTGAACATTTGTATCCCAAGCAGACATAAAGAGATTATGTTCTTTTTAAGTGTTGTTTACTGGTCTTAAGTAGATGGGACAGGACATCCAACTGACATACTTCCTTGAGCCACAGAGGTTTGCTGCTACAAAGGAAAGAAGAGAGTATCTTAGACTGCATCCCACAGTTGCTGTGGTGTGAACAAATTGTGCTGAACAAGTTGATGATGTGTTTGGTCTTAACACTTACTCTTCTTAGATATATTGATGTAGTCATCAGTGTGAATAAGCACAATGGATTCTACTTCTCTAAGACCTGAATAAGGCCTAAGGGTAATTGTTGGAAAGCTGGGATGAAAGAAACTTTAAAAGGGAACCTTGTTCCTTGAACCAGCTCCCGAAATTCTGAAAAAGAAGTTACCTTAATTTCCTTGACCAAGATTAAGATAGGGAGCTAGTCGTGAGGTAACTCTGGAATGGATGGATGGATGTCTTGATGGGAGATAAGGGAAGTGGATAGTTTTCTTTCTTTTTTTTTTTTTCTTTTTTGAGACGGAGTCTCGCTTTGTCGCCCAGCCTGGAGTGCAGTGGCATGATCTCGGCTCACTGCAACCTTCCAGGTTCAAGTGATTCTCCTGCCTCAGCCTCCCAAGTAGCTGGGACTACAGGCATGTGCCGCAGCACCCAGCTAATTTTTTATATTTTTACTAGAGACAGGGTTTCACCATATTGACCAGGCTGGTCTCAAACTCCTGATCTCATGATCCACCCACCTCAGCCTCCCAAAGTGCTGGGATTACAGGCATGAGCCACCACGCCTGGCCTGAAAGTAAATAGTTTTCTATAAGTTCAGAGTTTCATTAGTAGAAAAAAGAACATTCATTTTCAGGTGGATTATGCCAAGGTCACTCAAATACAATGTGAGATCATTCAGTTTAGGGTAGTAGATGGGATCATTGACTCCTTTGCTATCCATACCATACCAGACGTTGGTTTCTTTCCTATTTGAGCTCACCTACCACTCTGAGTCAGTTAAGCACTTTAATTCACTTTCATCCCTTCTCAGCTAATGAGAAAGTCTGTCATCAATAGTTGCACTGATAACTATAGCCAACTTCATACTTGACAGAGCTCTATAACTCAAGTCTGGCACTGCTACTATCTGAAATTTAGCATTTCTCCCCTCCTCACCTTTTTTTTTTTAATAGGAAAATAACATTATTTCACATTAGGGAGTAGGCAGGCATCCAGACTCAGAACTGGAATTGCTTCTTGGTGGCACTGGGGACCATGAGCGTGTTGAAGTGCACCATCTTGCTCATGCTGGTGCTTACCCAACCATGATGATGTTGCTGATCTGGACATCCCTGATGCAAGGGGGATGGGTGCATGAACATGTTCTTGTGCTTCTTGAAGCAACTGTACTTATACATGTAGTGGAAATAATCTTGGTGGATGATGTTGATCTTTTGCATCTTTTATCTTGGTCATCATGCAGACAGGATCCACCCTCAGATGGAGACGTTACCAATGAAGGGGCAATCAGTGTAAATATAGGTGCCCTCGGCCTATATAGGTATATTGACGCCAAAACTGATTTTGTTTTTTTAGAGACGGAGTTTCTCTCTCGTTGGAGTGCAGTGGCACAATCTCAGCTCACTGTAATCTCCACCTCCCGGGTTCAAGTGATTCTCCTGCCTCAGCCTCCCGAATAGCTGGGATTACAGGCGCCTGCCACCACACCCAGCTAATTTTGTATATTTTTAGTGGAGACGGGGTCTCACTATGTTGGCCAGGCTGGTATTGAACTCCTGACCTCAGGTGATCCACCCACCTCAGCCTTCCAAAGTGCTAGGATTACAGGCATGAGCCACCACGCCCAGACGCAGACTGATCTTATGGTCCTATAGGAACTTCTCATTGCCAGTATCTCCCAGCAGGACCCTCTTGTTTTGAAAGATGGTTGACTGCTTTTGGTAGGCACACTCAGTCTTGGATTTAACAGAACTTCCTGAAAGGTTTGAGCCTCTATTAACTTGCAGAGACCCCAGCATTTAGGAAGCACTAATCTAGATTGAAGCAGATGCATACACTTCCATACACCAGTTAATCCCTAGTGTGTTGGGGACACCCAGAATTAACCCCCAAACTGAAGCATAGAGTTCTGCCATCCTGTACACGCTTCTGAGGTTTGGGGAGGACCTGCAGCCTCGTCATGAGCCCCAAGCCCACTGAAATTTGCCATTTCAGTGATCCCCATTCCTATTGTCCTTGAAATGGTAGGCTCATTAAACACAGCATCTCTCAACATGACCATCATGAAGCTCTCTGAAATTGAGCAACAAGCACACATTTAATATAGCTAACCTTAAAAAGCATTTAAATACCTGCCACAGGTTGGGTTCTTGGCAAAAACACTCTGTGTCGGAGATTCATGTGCAGGAAGTTTATTGGGAGGAGTTATCTGCATCAACACCTGTTGGGGAGTAAAGGCAGTAGAATTGGGTAGAGGGAGAAATTAAGCTGATGCAGTCTTAACAAATGCCTCAGTCAACCAGGAACTCAAACTAGGATGGCTCTGCCAGATGCCCCAATAGGACAAGTAGGCTGGACCTTATCTCCCTATTTGACTAGGAAAGGGGTATGATCTTGAGTGAGTTGGCTGACTTCAGCCAAAGGCAGTCCCCGAATGGGGCACAGGTGACGGCTGTCAGCATTCACAGCAGCTTCAGTCCTGAAGGGGAAGATATGGGCAGCACACCACAGTCAACACTACAGTCCACCCCTTGCACTGCTCAGACTGATTTGTTTCATTAGTTCTGGAATGGTTTCTTCAGGATTCTGATGGATCTCTTTCTGGGGAAACTTAAAAGAGGAAGGTCTGGTACAGGCCACAGCCTCTGCTGCTGTAGATTGAGTTTGCAACTGGCATTCACCTCCCTTCTCTACTACCCATTGTTGATCTTTCCCTAACTCCCTGAGACTTGTACCTCTGGTTCATGTGGGTTACCAGATGAGGTACCTGGCTATCATGCCTTTCTCAGGCTATGACTGCACTTGGTCATTTATCGTCAAAATTGGGCAAGGAGAAACATACTCAAGTGGATGATCTGGGTGCCAAATATATTCTTCCCTGTCCCCACTGTGTAATAGCAGCCCCACCTCCTGATAATGACTCCTTTCCTTGCTTTCTTGTCTCTTGATAGTGAGTTGGAGTAATCTGGTGCCTGCCATAGCTTAAAGTTTAGTGAGACTCAGTGTGTCCACTGGTGCAGATATTCGCCTTCTGGGAACCAGGACTTCTAAACCCTTAGAGACCAGAGTTGGGATAGAAGGCACAGTTTCTCCAATTGGATCACTGGGAGTGATGATAATGGTGGGCTGCTCCTACACCCACCCTTTGTTCCCCAGAGCCATATATTTTCCTTAAGGATACACTATTCAATGGCAATCGGTCTCGGGTATTTACTGCATCATGAAGGATGATGCCTCCTCCTTACAGGGTATCATCTCCAATCTGGTGCCTTAGCTGTGTTTTTAACAAGCACTATTGGGGGAACCGGGGAACCACCCCTGATAATTCAATGTAGGTTCTTTTCTATTTCCGTAAGTGTTGGCCAGTCTGAGAAATAAAGGGAAAGAGTGCAAAAGAGAGAAATGTTAAAGCTGGGTGTCTGGGGGAGACATCACATGTCGGCATTTTCCATGATGCCCCCTGAGCTGTAAAACCAGCAAGTTTTTATTAGTGATTTTCAAAGGGGAGGGAGTGTACGAATAGGGTGTGGGTCACAGAGATCACATGCTTCACAAGGCAATAAAATATCACAAGGCAAATGGGGGCAGAGCACCAGGGTGAAATTAAAATTGCCAATGAAGTTTTGGGCATGCATTGTCATTGATAACATCT